ATAGGCGCACGGAGTGGATGGCTTTCATAGTTTCTAGATCTGCTTTTACTCACTTGACTTTTACCACCACGTTCTTGAAAGGCTGGCTTCCCTGCCTCACAGACCTCTCCGGCCGTTTCTTCCTGACCATCTTTCAGTCTGATTTTCTTCTCCACGGCTTTATCAAAAGGCTCAGCTGGGAGTAGATTGACTCATCTAAGCCAGTGGCTTCTTCTGAACCCTTCTTCTCCTTTAAAGACTCTTCATGTAGTTGGGGCACCATTTTTCTCTGTGCCCATGCAAGTGTTCTTTCTCGTTTGTCAGCCTGTCTCTCCCTCCCCCCATTTTCCTTCTGTTTCTCTTTTCCTCTCCCTACAACGTGATTTGAACATTTCCCACAGCATTGTTTTTTCAGTCCTTTTTTTTTCTTTCTGTCTATGAGAGAGAGAGAGAGAGAAAGAGAGAGAGAGAAAGAGGGTGGGGAGGGGAGGGAGGGAAAGGGGGGAAGGGAAGGGTGGAGACAGAGGGGGGATACAGTCAGGGAGAGAGGGGGAGGAAGAGAGGGGGGAGGATGAGCAAGAAAGAGTAAGAGACGGAGGGATGGAGAGAGGGAGGGAGGGAGACAGGGGAGGAAGGGTGAGGAAGAGATGTACGGAAAACAAAAGAGAGGGAGAGGGAGGGAAGGAGGGCGGAGGGCGGCAGAGAATCTGACCCAACTCAGGGCTGCAAGCTCCGTTCGATGCAGAAGACCCCCACATCTGCCCACAAGCCCTGGCTCCTTCCTGCGTTTCCCGCCATGGCTGGAGCTCTCGGAGGGACATCCTTGACCTGCTTCGGTGGGCATCACACTGCGTGGGCCCGCAGCTCCTGCCCTTCCTCTTCTCTGCTGGGTGTCTACTCGCCTTTTCAAAGGCTGCCTTGCTTTCCTCATCCACACCTCGTGGCTCAGGGTCCTCCTCTCCCCTACACTCAGTCAGTGAACACATTCTCCGGTTTCTCCTTTTTGAATGCCTCTGGCACCCGGTCTTTTCTGTGCGTTCCTTCTGCCAAGATCCTAGTACAGGCCGTAATTACGTTGCGCCTATTGTGATAAAGATCTCCTTCTTTGCCTGACTCTGGTTTCGAATCCCTTCCTCCACTGTAAGATTGCGAAGCCCCTCCTGTGGACTGACAGGGTCAAATCCTGAGGGGTCAGGCACGCTCGGTCCCGAGGGGAGCACAGCTGAGTAGGAGAAGTCATTCTGGAACCCATGACTGCAGGGCCGGATAACAAGCACAGTCTAAACCCAGGATGGATGGACAGAGCAGTTCAGTGAGTGCTACGTGAGAAGGTCAGGAGAAGCCCCGGTCGTTAATAAGTCTCGGAAGGACGAAAAAGTAGCTTCGAGGCAGGCGAAGGCCGGAAGGACACCCAGGCACAGACAGTGACAGGTACAAAGGCAAAGGGTGGCGTGGAAGCGTGGCACCAGAGGAGGGCTTTCACTGTGGCTGGAGTGGTCGGGACGAGACCTGTGTGCCATACCCCGCATCCAGAACATGTTCCTGCATCTCAGAGGCCCAGAGCAGAAGTGTCTTCAGCGGGGCCAGGGCATGGCTGCTGTGTGTGTTAAGATGATTCCCCTGGTGGGGTTGTGGGGGAGCCTGTGGAGGCAGCCAGGCCCGAGTCACAGACGGGACGGGAGGGCGGTGGCGGTGAGATGGGTCAGAATCCCCCCACTTCCAGCCTGCCTGCGGCATCCCGCCCAGCCTCCGGGCTCCGGTCACCCCAGAAGTGTCCCCAGCATCTTCCTGGACCCCCATCTGCACAGATCCCTACGGTCTAGCCACAGGCTCGGCCTCGCTGGATCCTGTTCTGCCCCTGGACAAGGGTCTGTGCTTTCCCCAGGCTCGCAGCTTTGTGCAGTTGGTTCTAGGTCCTAGACCAGCGCTCGGAGGCTTGCCGCCACAGCCAGACCCAGCCCCGCACCTGCTTCTGCGAAGACGGGGTGTAGGAACACAGCCATCACCATCCGTGGACTTGCCAGTGGCTGCTCTGGCAAGGTGAAGACAGCCTGAGGGCTCCAGCAGAGATCTCACTGCTTGCAGAGCTGAACGTCGTGACTCTCTGGCCCTTGACAGGAATGGTTTGCTGACCGCTGACCCAGAACACCCTTTTTTTTTTTTGAGTTGGAGTCTCACTCTGTCACCCAGACTGGAGTGCAGTGGCCGCTCCCGACCACCGCAGCCTCGACCTGCTGGGCTCCGGCGATCCTTCCGCCTCAGTCTTCTAAGTAGCTGGAACTACAGGCACGCACTACCACCCCGGCTGATTTTTGATTTATTGTAGAGATGAGGTCTCGCCAAGTTGCCCAGGTGGTTCTCCAACCCACGGGCTCAGGCAATCCACTCACCTCAGCCTCCCAAAGTGCTGGGATTACATGCTGAGCCACCAAGCCCATCCCAGTACACCTTTTTAATCTCCCTTTTTCAAGACGGCTAAAAGATGGGTAGCCCCTTGAAAATTAAATTTAGCCTTCTGTGGGAAAGGTTTTATTTTCATCATTTCAGTCAAAAGTATTCTTTGTCTCCCAAATATCTAGACAGACAGTTCTTAATAGTTCCGTAGCACTTTACCCCACTGCCTTGTTTTGTGTTTGTGTTTCTGTTTCTTTCTTCCATTTAGGATATAAGCTTAAAACCAAGATTTTTAACCTACTTACCTATTATGTCCTTTTCAGTCCATCCATCCATTTAATTATGTAAGTTCAAGTTGAACATTCCTAATCCAAAAATCTGAAATCATGTTCCCAAACTCAAAACTTCTGGTGTGATGCCACAGGGGGGAAATTCCATCTCTGACAACTCAGCTTTCTGGTGATTCAATGGACACAAACTTTGTTTCATGCACAAAATTATCAAAAGTATTGTATATAATTATCTTTAGGCTATACGTATAAGGTACACATAAAACAAAAATGATATTTGTGTTTAGACTTGAGTTCCATCTCTAAGATATCTCATTATGTGTATGCAGATATTCTAAAATCTGAAAAAAATTCAAGACAAATCTGACCCCAAGCATTTTGGGTAAGGAATAGCCAACCTACATATAGATGGATCATGATAGATTATATGTAATAAGCTATTTTGTTGTGAATATATATGTATACGTATTCTCTACAGTGCTTGTAAATTTGGTTAGGCTTTCGAGTGCTTATCAACTACAATGCCATGTGTTTTTCATATAGCAACAAGGTCCCCAGAACAAAATCACACAATCGTCAAGTCCAGTTTCCTACAGTCTTTCTAAAAAAGATAAGGTCATTTGATTCTTTTTGAGTCATGCATTTCAAATTTTCACAAATTCATGTATAGAACTCTGATATGGCTGGGCACAGTAGCTCACACCTGTACCCCAGTACTTTGGGAGGCCGAGGCAGAAGGATTACTTGAGCCCAGAAGTTCAAGCCCAGCCCAGGCAACATAGCAAGACCTCCTCTCTCTAAAAAAAAACCCATAATAGACAGGTATGATAGTACACACCTGTAATCCCAGCTACTTGGGAGGTGAGGCAGAAAGATCGCTGAGACCAGGAGGTCAGGGTTGGGGTAAGCCGTGCTCGTGCCACTGCACTCCAGCCTGGACAACAGAGTAAGACCCTGATTTAAAAAAAAAAAAAAAAAAAAATACATATATATGTTTTGATAAAGGGAATAGTCATCTACTGTACAAAGGCAATAATTACACTTTATGAAACATCATTTCTCATCCAATAAGTATAATCGGTGCTAGCTATTCTCATTCATTCTTCACTCCTGGTTCCGGCATGTGGGTGTGCCAAAAAGTGTTAAAGATCTCATGATATAACATACTCTATCCATACTGAAGCCATTTCTCAGCCAAAGCCCTGCCCTATTCTCTTATTTTGCTGTCATTTTATAAGACTTCTTTTTGAGTATCAGGTTCCTGATAGTTCATTATTTCCCTAAAGTAGGACAGAGATGCTGAAATATTTCATTTATGAAACGATCTTCATAGGAGGAATGCACTTGCCACTGGCTGTGGGTCTCTTTTCCCCTGCAGTTTCTGTTGGATACAGGCTGTTGCTATGTTTAGATAGATACAAATGAAACTATCGAAACAGACTGTTAACTCCAACCTGGAATCTCTTTGTTGGGATAAAAGAAGAAAACTTTTATATTTGTATTAAAATTTAAAAGACATATATATTTCCTTGCTATCATTCAAGTTTAAAAATGATGGACCACAGCCAGTCTCTCAACCTTCAGACTTAGCTGCTTCTATCTTGGCTGTTTCTGGGACCCTACCTCAGGCACAAAATTAGAAGCATACACCCACAGCTTTACTCTTCAAAAAGATGGGAGCACTATTTGCAGTGGAAACTTCTGCGCGTTCACCAGCCTGGCTAGCATCAAAGTATCCTTGAGGATGTCATACCTCTTCTGACAAGAAAGCAACAAAGCCCTATGAGGAATGACACATGAGAGAATTAATAACTAGAAAGGTCTCTGTGTAAATAATCAGGCTTGACTTGTTCTGAGAAACAAATGTATGCCAGATAACATGTTTTGTCTCACAAGGGTAAAATCTTCCATGGAAGATTTTATCCTCTGGTTTATTAGGGTAGAAAAATAATTTTTAGACTCACTTAAAAGACATTTAATTGTCGTCCTGGCCACTAACCACAATATCAGAGGAAGGCCCTGATGTATGCTTTCAGGCTCATTTATGCAAAATGCAATTGCCTTTTGGGTTTATTTTGGGGCCATGCATGACTCAAGAGTACTAAAAACCTAGTAAAGACTTGCTTCGCGTCATTTGGCATCTCACAGGAAAGACCGTCGGTGTAATGTTCACATAAAATTGGAAATATTTACTGTTTAGCCTTATTCTTTCTTTCATTGTTGTTTGCTCTTATTTGTAATTGCTTTGCATTTCGGCCTCAGTTTTTAAATTACGATGAATAGATGTTACAGTCTTAAAACGCTGAGACCCATGCCCATCTCTGCTTTCTGCCGTAGTTATCGGATCATCGGTGGAAACTCGCAGTTCACTATCAACCCATCCACGGGACAGATCATCACCAGTGCGCTGCTGGACAGGGAAACCAAAGACAATTACACGTTAGTGGTGGTCTCCAGCGATGCAGGATCCCCGGAACCGCTTTCCAGTTCTGCCAGCGTGCTTGTCACCGTGACTGATGTCAATGACAATCCACCAAGATTTCAGCATCACCCTTACGTCACACACATCCCATCCCCTACTCTTCCAGGTAATCGGCCCAACTCCAGGCCTCATGGATAGAAGCAAAGTATTTCTCAGGCATTTTCTGTAAACATGTTTATGTTATTTTGCAGAGATCTGATATAGCCTAATTTTGCAGAACTCTAACTTTACAGATCTCAGGTTGATTTGCCTCATGGAATTGGAAAACACTTTGATTCCTGTACATTAACCTTCTCCCTAGAAGAGCTGTGTATAGGATTTTATAATTGTCTCCTATGAGTATTTCTTGATGTTTCTTGACTATTATAAATGATTAAAGTAGATATCACTTCTTAGTCTGGGATGGGTCAGCCTGAGGTTGATTTGTAAGCTCTTCTTAGTCAGGGATGGGTCTGGCCTGAAGACGATTTGTAAGTTCCTCTTAGTCAGGGATGGGTCAGCCTGAGGATTTCTGTAAGTTCCCCTTAAGGGGGAGGCCCTTGTCTGCATTTTTCATGCCAGACCTCCATACCCAAACGTTGCTGGGCGGTGATAGACATTCAAGTACGTTTCTTGGTGGAGAATGAATATTTTGCTTCCATTCTCACAGATATGTTTCTCAAAAAGATTAAATAAATAGATAATTCTTATCAATATGTATTGTATTCTGGGAATTGTGGATGAAAAAATTTACTGTCAGGAAGCTTATGGGGCCGTTTATAAGCAAATTTCATATTGACAGCATGCATTTATCTTTCTGCACCTTTTAAATTTCGTTTGCGATTATTTTCTTATTTACTAAGAATGGCATGCCGTCTTAAAAGCTGCACACATCTTTTGCCTTTTATACTTTTTAAAATAAGTTTTCCAATGGGGCGACATACAAATATAGCTCATTATTAATTTAAGCTTCCTTGCCAGAAAATACTTTTAATTAGAAGAAAAAAGCATAAACGGGTCTGGTATTCCTCTTTTCAGTGATCTTTGATCTTCTGTTAACCTGAGAGTGTCTAATGCATACCAGTTTAAAGTGTAAGATCTACGCATGCATGTGCCAACTTCCTAGCAAAAGAAAATGTCAACGCCAGAGTCATAAACACCTTACGAATGTCTTTAGCCAAAGAGATGCTAATGCTTTCTGATGGGGTGGTGCAGTACAGAGCCTCCTCTGAGGATGAAGCACCTCTTCCTCATTAGATTCTTGCAGTTAGTCAGAACCACCGCTCTTTTGGTACATACTTGTAGGTATGGGGCGTGGGCTTGGGAATGGTTTCTGAATAAATATGTTAAAAAATATGTTCTTAGGGCAGCTTCTCTGCATATTTTTACTACAATCTGTTTCATTGGCACTTATTCCAAGCACTGGCTCTTGGAGTCCAAATTGAGTTCGTTCCTACTCAATTCTTACTTTTTACTACCTTATAATTATTTTAATTGATGTATGCATGTAGGCATATATGTATATATGTGTGTAATTTTTTTTTTGTCACAGCAGCTTTTATTGTTCCCTAAAAAGTCCATTTTCCTGTAAAGACGTTCATTTAGATGAGACACACACCAGGTTTTTCTAAAGTGCCAAAACGCATACAATTCCCATGACTTCAGATGAGAATTATAACGCACCAAAGAATGGTATCCTTTTCAATACTCAAGGTCATCATGTGCTGCCGAGTCCTTAGTTTCTGTGATGGGGAAGAATTTTGCTAGCAAATAGTTGAATTAAAATCCAGGCAAGCCGGGCTCGGTGGCTCAGCCTGTAATCCCGTGCCTTTGGGAGGCTGAGGTGAGCGGATTGCCTGAACCTGCGGGTTCAAGACCCGCCTGGGCAGCAAGACCTCATCTCTACAATAAATCAAAAAATCAGCCGGGCGTGGTAGCACATGCCTGTAATTCCGGCTACTCGGAAGGTTGAGGCGGAAGGATCGCCGGAGCCCAGCAGGTCGAGGCTGAGGTGGCCGGGAGCGGCCACTGCACTCCAGTCTGGGCGACAGAGTGAAACTCCAACTCAAAAAAAATAAAATAAAATAAAATAAAATCCAAGCAAATAGGCTCTCAGTCTTCATCTTCATTATGTCTATCTATATTATACATATCTATATCTATAGATATCTGTATTATAGATTGTATTCAAGTCATAAAAACTCACAAAGAAATTTTGCCATAGAACAATGGATATAAGGAACCAACGGCAATGAATGCATGATTTTGTTGACGTGATGACATGCAGTGACTCAAAGGTACTTTGACACATAACAGAGCAGTAGTCTCTTTTTACTGGGTAGAAGCATAGCTCCCTGCAGAGCTCACACGTTATCGTGTTTCTTGGAATGTCATGGCAGGCGCAGATTTTTCTCCTAGAAACGATGATGTCGCGTGATTAGCCAGTTCCCTTCCCTGTGCTTCTCTTAAAAGCACAGTGAAAAACATGCAATCCAACAGACTGTCTGGGTTTCAGTTAGACAATGGCAGATTAGTCTCTGAAGACTGTCATCAAGCAGATTTGACTTGCGAATGCTAGAGAAAACACAGCAGATACTGCTCTCCCCAGTAATCATGAGGAAATAAAGTCACACCAGGCAGCAACAGAGTGTTCTGTGTGCATCAACTGCTGACCAAGTGTCTGCTTGGATTCCACATGATTCTGACTGCACACCCCTTCCTTTTGCAGGTTCCTTTGTCTTTGCGGTTACAGTCACAGATGCTGATATTGGACCCAATTCGGAACTGCATTATTCTCTCTCGGGTCGAAACTCTGAAAAATTTCACATTGACCCACTGAGGGGAGCCATCATGGCGGCCGGACCACTCAATGGAGCTTCAGAAGTGACATTTACGGTACACGTCAAAGATGGTGGCGCGTCCCCCAAGACAGATTCTACAACAGTGACCGTCCGATTTGTGCACAAGGCGGATTTCCCTAAAGTCAGAGCCAAAGAGCAAACGTTCATGTTTCCTGAAAACCAGCCGGTAGGATCTCTCGTCACCACCGTCTCGGGGTCCTCCCTGAGAGGGGAGCCTCTGTCTTACTATATCGCAAGTGGGAATCTCGGCAACACCTTCCAGATTGATCCGTCGACCGGGCAGGTCTCCATCAGTCAAGCTCTGGATTTCGAAAAGATACAGAACTATGTCATATGGATAGAGGCCAGAGACGGCGGTTTCCCCCCTTTCTCCTCTTACGAGAAACTCGACGTAACAGTGTTAGATGTCAATGACAATTCCCCAGTTTTTAAGGCGGATCCATTTGTGTCTGAAATACTGGAAAACCTTTCTCCGCGAAAAATACTCACCGTTTCGGCAACGGACGAGGACAGTGGGCCCAATGGACAGTTAGGTTACGAAATTGCTCATGGCAATGAAGAACACAGTTTCAGTATCAATCACGCCACCGGTGAAATTAGGAGCATCCGCCCCTTAGATAGGGAGAAAGTATCGCATTATGTGCTCACCGTGAAATCTTCCGACAAAGGGTCCCCACCCCAGAGTACTTCAGTGAAAGTCATCATTAGCATCTTGGATGAAAATGATAATGCCCCTCGATTTTCTCAGATATTTAGTGCCCACGTCCCTGAAAACTCCCCCTTAGGACACACGGTGACACGTGTCACAACTTCTGATGAGGACATCGGTATGAATGCGATTAGCAGATATTCTATAACAGACACAAGCCTTCCGTTTACAATTAATCCCAGCACAGGGGATATTGTCATCAGCAGACCATTAGACAGGGAACACACAGACCGCTACAGAATTCGAGTCTCGGCACATGACTCTGGGTGGACCGTGAGCACGGATGTCACAATATTTGTGATCGACGTCAATGACAATGCACCCAGATTTAGCAGACCCTCTTACTACTTGGATTGCCCTGAACTTAGTGAGATTGGCTCCAGAGTGACTCAGGTATCTGCAAGTGACCCTGATGAGGGACCCAATGGTCAGGTGTTTTACTTCATAAAGTCTCAGTCAGAGTATTTCAGGATCAATGCTACCACCGGAGAGATCTTCAATAAGCAAGTCTTGAAATACCAAAACGTCACCGGCTTCAGTAACGTGAATATCAACAGGCACAGTTTCATAGTGACGTCTTCAGATCGGGGTGACCCTTCCTTACTTAGTGAGACAACAGTCACCATCAACACCGTGGACAGCAATGACAATGCGCCTCGATTTCTTAAAAGTAAATATTTTACTCCTGTCACCAAAAATGTCAAAGTCGGCACAGATTTGATCAAAGTGACCGCAGTCGATGACAGAGACTTTGGGCTGAATTCTGAAGTGGAGTATTTAATTTCTGCTGAAAACCATTTAGGGAAATTCAAGTTGGACAAGGAGACAGGGTGGATTTCAGTCGCAGCTTCCCTGATTTCTGACTTGAATCAAAACTTTTTGATCACGGTGACCGCACAAGATAAAGGAAACCCTCCGCTTTCTTCCCAAGCCACGGTTCAAATCACCGTCACTGAGGAAAACTACCACACGCCTGAGTTCTCTCAAAGCCACATGAGTGCCACCGTCCCCGAGAGCCACAGCGTCGGGGCCGTCATCAGAACCGTGTCTGCCAGAGACAGAGACACGGCCATGAACGGCCTGATCAGGTACAGCATTTCTTCGGGGAACGAAGAAGGCGTTTTCGCCGTCAATTCCTCCACAGGCGTGTTGACCCTGGCCAGAGCGCTGGACTACGAGCTGCGCCAGACGCACGAGATCACCATCAGTGCTACGGACGGAGGGTGGGTGGCGAGGACCGGCTACTGCAGCGTGACCGTCCACGTGGTTGACGTGAACGACAATTCTCCGCGGTTCCCCGCTGACCAGTACTCCCCTACGGTCTTGGAAAACGCGCCGAGCGGGACCACCGTCGTCCACCTCGACGCCACGGACGCCGACTCGGGGTCCAACGCCGTGATTGCGTACGCGGTGCAGTCCTCCGACAGTGACCTCTTTGTCATCGACCCGAACACGGGAGTCATAACCACCCAAGGCTTCCTGGACTTTGAAACCAAGCAGCGCTACCATCTCACCGTGAAAGCCTTCAACGTGCCCGACGAGGAGCGGTGCAGCTTCGCCACCGTCCACGTACAGCTCGCGGGGACCAACGAGTATGTGCCCCGCTTCGTCGCCAAACTCTACTACTTCGAGGTCTCAGAGGCAGCCCCTCGAGGTACCGTCGTCGGAGAAGTGTTTGCCAGCGACCGCGACTCGGGCGCCGACGGGGAGGTGCACTACCTGATCTTCGGGAGCAGCCGCAAGAAGGGTTTCCGGATCGACGGGAGGACCGGACAGATTTACGTCTGCGGAGCGCTCGACAGGGAGAGAGAAGAACGGGTGTCCCTGAAGGTCCTGGCCAAGAACGCCGGCAGCATCCGGGGCGCGGACGTCGACGAGGCCGCGGTGAACGTCACGGTGCTCGACGCCAACGACCCGCCCGTCTTCAGCCTGGACGTCTACAGCGTGCAGGTCAGCGAGGGCGTCCCCCGCGGCACGCACGTGACCTTCGTCAGCGCCTTCGACTCGGACTCCGTCCCCAGCTGGAACCGGTTCTCCTACGTCATCGGGTCGGGCAACGAGCGCGGCGCCTTCTCCGTCCACCCGCAGACGGGGCAGATCACGGTGACGGCGGAGCTGGACCGCGAGGCGCTGCCGGTCTACAACCTCTCGGTCTTGGCGGTTGACTCGGGCACCCCCCCGGCCACCGGCAGCGCCTCCCTGCTGGTCACCCTGGAAGACATCAACGACAACGGGCCGGTGCTGGCCGTGCGCGAGGGAGAGGTCCTGGAAAACCAGCCCCCGGGGACGCAGGTGCTGACGCTGCAGGCCACCGACCCCGACCTCCCGCCCAACCAGGGCCCCTTCACCTACCACCTGCTGAGCGCGGGGCCGGCCCCCAGCTACTTCAGCCTGAGCGCCGCCGGCGTGCTGAGCACCACCCGCGCCATCGACAGGGAGCAGATCGCCGACTTCTACCTGGCGGTGGTCACCAGGGACTCCGGCGTCCCGCAGATGTCGTCCACGGGCACCGTGCACGTCGCCGTGGGGGACCTGAACGACAACCCCTCGCAGCCGCGGGCGGTGGAGATCTTCGTCCACTACTACGGGGCCCTGTTCCCCGGGGGCGTGCTGGGCTCCGTGAAGCCGCAGGACCCCGACGTGCGGGACAGCTTCCGCTGCTCCCTGGCGTCGGGGGTCCCCAGCCTCTTCAGCATCCCGGCGGGCACGTGCGAGCTGGCCTCGCAGCCGC